AAGTCGGACGCTTAACCGACTGTGCCACCCAGGCGCCCCGAGATATTATTTCTCTTTAATACTTACATTCTCTGCCTCTGAGGGTTTAGCTGGATACGTTAGACCTTATTATTCTAGCCTCCACTGTCCCTAGCCTTGTTTTTGTATACATGTATATTTTATCTCATCTCTTTCTGCAACAACCTTAGTGACTTCAATCTACCTTCCAGTCTCTTTGTCTCCATCTTAAACGCTATTTACCCCCAACATTCTGTTTTTCATTTTAATAATCATAGTTCTTCTTTCTAAGGGCTCCATTTGGTTCTTCTTCAAATCTGCTTGTCACATTTGCTTGATTATTAAAATACCTACTTTCTTTTTTTTTTAACAGGAAGTAAGTGTTGGTGAGGATGTGGAGAAATTGGAACCTTGTGCACGGTGGGTGGGAACGTAAAATGGTGTGATCCTTAGGGAAAGCAATGAATAATTAAAAACCGATACCATATGATCCAGCAATTCTGCTTCTGGGTATACACCCAAAGAATCGAAAGCAGGGTCTTGAGACATGTATACACCCATGTTTAGCCCAGCTTATTCACAATAGCCAAGAGGTAGATGCAACCCAGATGTTCGTCAATAAATGGATGGAGAAACAAAATGTGGTATAAATAATGGCATATTATTGACCCTTAAAAAGGAAGGAAAATCTGGGGCGTCTGGGTGGCTCAGTCGGTTGAGCGTCTGACTTCGGCTCAGGTCATGATCTTGCGGCTCATGGGTTGGAGCCCTGCATCTGGCTCTGCGCTGACAGCTCAAGAGCCTGGAGCCTGCTTCAGATGATTTGTCTCCTCTTCTCTCTGCCCCTCCCCTGCTCATGCTCTCTCTCTCTCTGTCTCTCAATAAACAAACATTAAAATTTTTTTTAAATAAAAAAAATTTTTTAAAAAAGAAGGAAAATCTGATACATGGCTATAACCATGGGTAAACCTCAAAGACCGTGTGCTAGCTGAAATGAGCCAGGTTCAAAAAGGCAAATACTATGTAATTCCACTTACATGAGGGACCTAGAGTCGCCAAATTTATAGAGACAGAAGGTAGGAGGTGGCTTCCGGTATCTGGCGGGAGGAAAAGACTGGGAGTTATGGTTGAAGGGGATATGGAGTTCTGGAAGGGAAAAACAGTTCTGGAGATGGACGGGATTGATGGCCACACAACAGTGCGAATGGACTTAAAATCATTGAACCATATCCTTAAAACGTGGTTAAGATGGTAAATTTTATGTATGTTTTAAAAGTGTTTAAAAAATATTTTAAAATGTGGAAAAGTGCCCTTTTTTTAAAAAATTTTTTTCAACGTTTATTCATTTATTTATTTATTTTCAATTTTTTTTTTCAACGTTTATTTATTTTGGGGACAGAGACAGAGCATGAACGGGGGAGGGGCAGAGAGAGAGGGAGACACAGAATCGGAAACAGGCTCCAGGCTCTGAGCCATCCGCCCAGAGCCCGACGCGGGGCTCGAACTCACGGACCGTGAGATTGTGACCTGGCTGAAGTCGGACGCTTAACCGACTGTGCCACCCAGGCGCCCCGAAAAGTGCCCATTTTTAATGAAAGATTTATAAGCTCTTGTATTAGAAGCCCTACAGTGTGACGGTTCATAGCACCCAGGAGTCTGAATGCTCTTATTCAACTTATCCGTGAGATCGTGACCTGAGCTGAAGTCGGATGCTCCACTGCCTGAGCCACCCAGGTACCCTATGGGTTTTTTATTATAATCTGATAATGCGAACATGTAAAGTGCTTGGTTTTCTGATGATTTGCTGTTTTTGATGATTCCCACCGCGGGGTTAAAAATTTTTTTTTTTTTAATGTGTATTTTTGAGAGAGAGAGACAGAGCACGAGTCGGGGAGGTGCTCTGAGCTGTCAGCACACAGCCCGACGCAGGGCTCGACCTTGAGGAATGGTGAGATCTTGACCTAGGCTGCAGACCGATTGAGCCACTCGGGCGTCCCTCATGGGGTTTTCTTTTTGATAAATCTTGGCTGATCTTTGATTGTGAGCACTGGCTCTGGGTTTTGAGTTCTCGTCTCAACTTTCATATAGGTCTTGGTCTCCAGGACAACCCAAGATTTTAGTTGGCTCTTGCTCCCAATCTCTACCTTCGTTTCAGCTCGTGATTCTGATACTTTGGTTTATTTATGTATTTATTTGCCTTTGAAGATTTTTATTATTCCTGAGAGCCTAGTAAAGGATCAGCAAGTGTATTTCTCTACGATCCGACCGAGAGGGTCCTCAGAACGCCTGGGCCTCCACACAGTGGCCCGAGAAGTCCATGGGGCTTAGTTCTGTGACCATTTGAGTGCTTATGGTCATGCTTATGTCCCCAGAAACCCACTCGGGCACCATCTCAGACTTTGCAGGTGATAAATGTCTTTTCTTTAAAGGAAGCAAGCAACCACGCCCTGGGCTCTCCAGGCAGGACTCAGAGGTGCAGTACCTCTTTGCAGCCACTGGGGGAGCCATGATTGACTTCAGCCTTGAATGCCTAAATTACCTCCCTCCCAAATCCTAGGTGTTATCTCTGGCCCATGGCTGGTAGGGCAGGCAGGAGAAACGGGAGGAGGGCAGTGGGAGACGGCCTTGTGTGGGAAGGAGCCGTGCTCACCCTGGCTTCCCCAGTCCGCAAGTTCACTGTTGCCCTCACTCAGCAGCTCCAGCCTTGGGTCTCCTTTCTCCTTCTTCGAGAATCATTGGGCTCTCCAGGACCTTTCCCTGCCCAGGCCCAAGGATGATGCAGTAGGGGTGCAGTAGTCCTCGCTCAGTTCTTACCACGCAGCCCAGTCAGCCTGTGTCAAAGGCTTCGCAGGCCTTTTGAATAGCAGCAGCCACGGGGCTAACAATGACAACAGTAACATTAGTTGTGTCAACAGCAGGACAGTGCATCCTATGTTACGTTTGGTTTCTTGCTCTGAGTGTGCTTGGGGATGGGTGGAGGAGGGGAGGGCTGGCTCAGACCTCTCCTCCTTCCGCTGCAGCCCTTGGTGATCTGGGTTCTCACCAGCGAGCCTACTTCCGTTCAGTAGAGGAGGAAAATTTCTTGGCCTAGCAATGCCTTCTGAGACCTTGGTGGGAAGGCTGGCCTGTTCAGTCTTTCTCCTTGGGATGCCTGGAGCCCCAGGGGTGGCCGGGCTGGGGCTGCTGACTTTCTTCTGGGGGCCTGTGGCCTGTGAGGTCTTTGACAGGAATGGAGGCCCTTTGCTGCACCAAGAAATGCTGAGGCTGTGGGCAGAGAGGTGCGCCCGAGGGGGCTCTTGCTCCGTCTGACTTCTGGGGGATCCCCAGGGAGGCAGGACAGGGGGGAAGGAGCTCCCAGCAGTACGGAGGGGCGGAAGCATCATAGTGTAGACTACAACAAAAGACCAACAGAGAGGCAGGTGATTTGAAACTGGACAAGGTGGTGACGTGTGCAAAAATAGCCTGCCTTTTCTGAAACGCTTTGCTCCTCTATTTTCGAGGAAAGTTTCTTAAGCCTTTGCACCCTCCTTCTCAACAGAATCTGTTCTCTGGAAACTCACTGATAGTCGCATTCTGCCAGGGAATAGAGAGTGAAAAAGCTGGGTGTGTTCCGTACCCTAAGCCATTTGCATTTAAGGGGAATCTCTGATCCTAGAGACTTTCAGTTCTTCATGGTGGAATCTCAGGCTGTCACTGGTAGGGAAAATTACTTAGGATGCAAGGCGTTATCTCGGAGCCATTTGAATCAAACCTGAGGATGGTTTGATACCTTGAGGGTAGAGGAAGGGAAGGAGGACACGACAGGGAGGCTCACCTTCCGGACACTGTAGATCCAGTTGAGATAGCTTGTGACCTTGGTGTATACTCCCGGGGTACTTGGACCCCCACAGCCATGGCCCCAGCTCACGATGCCCACCACTTGCCACAGGTCAGAGTGATACATCAGGGGCCCACCGCTGTCACCCTGTGAGACACCAGAACAGGGGCTGCTGGAGAGGGCAGGCAGGGGTGGGGTGGAAGGGTGGGCTTCTCTTTCCGGCTCCCCACCTCCACCCCCCGGCCTTGACCCATCTATTCTCTGCTTCCCAGTGCTCTGTGCTGTTCTGCCCTCACTGACTTTGCTCATGCTGTTCCTGCAGCCTGGAATGGCCTTCCAGTTGGGGCAAAAGGGTCTGTTTGTGGTCCAGTAAGTTGTCGGCTGCTGTTAGCCTTCTCGCAGGCATTCACAACACACACTAGCAAACTGAAGGCTCTAAGGGGTTCTGCGGTGAGAAGCCTGATTATCTTTGCTTAACCTAGCGTTTCCCAAATTTATTTAGCTACTCTTGGAGTGCCTGCTGTGTGGCACCTACTGTTCTAGACAACTGGGATTCGATCAATGAAAAGAACAAAGATCCCTGTCCTTGGGGAGCTTAGAGTCAAGCGGAGAAGAGAGAGAGAGAGAAAACACAACAAAACAGATTATGAACATGGCAGTGAAAAGTGTGCTTATTTGGGTGTCTGTCCCAGCTCCTAGAGCCCCCGAGACTTCCTCCCCCCCAATAACACCATAGCCTGACTGCTCCTAACCCCACCACTGTGAGCTCCCTGAGGAAAGAAGACACTGTCCCCCAAACCTATTTACCTGGCATTCAAGAGATGACCAAGAGATCCCTCTTGAGTGGAGGAATTGAATGACCGAGAATGGGGGCGGGAATAGGGCGAGGGGCTTTAATGCAAATGGATCGGGAGATCCTCTGGGAACATGTATTCAGGGACCCATTGGTGGGGTCGGTGGGGGGAGTTGCGCCAGGGCTTATCCAGCATCAGATGGTTTTCTCTAGGGTAGTTCGGCATCTTGACGGTTCTAGAGAACATAGACCCGGTGTTCCTGCCCTCGAGTGACAGGAAGTAAGATGAAGGGAAGGAAGAGCAGATGAGGCGGGTAACGCCATCTTTGTATGCGAAATACACATTGGAAATCTTTCTGCTTGTTTCCATTCTCCCATCCTTGCCTTCTCTCTGTCCCCCTTCCTCGCACGTTGAGTGCCCACCGCACGCAAGGCCTCAGGCGGGGCAGTCCGCCTCTGGACTTTGTCTCTCCAAGACTAACATCCCATCCGAGGAACTCCCTCGGGATCCCACCTGGCAGGTGTCCACGCCGCCCTCCAGGATGCCCGCGCACAGCATCTTCTCGGTCACCTCCCCCTGGTAGGCGTCCTCTGCGTTGCACCGAGCGTGGTCAATTACCTGCACTGACGCCTGCAGCAACGTGTCAGACATCTTTCCTAGGAAGTTGAAAACACACTCACGTTCCCATTTTTGCCTTCTACCCCCAGCCCGGGACAATTCTCTGGGTTGCCTGGCACCTTGGTGCCTGGGCTTCCAGGATGATTTTTCTGAAGCACGGAGCTCCTTCCCATCACTTCCAAGAGCTGCTCCCTCAGCCCTGTGGTCCCGAGCCCAGGACTCACCTCCATCCTGCTCCGTAAAGCCCCATCCAATGACCCAGAGTGGGGTGGCTGGAGGGAGCTCCTCATCAAAGAAGGGCAGGCAGATGGGCCTGACTGTGCCTGCCAGGAGCAGAGAAAGAGGGGGAGAGCCTGGTGGCTAAGCCCTCTGAAAAGGTTGACAGCAGGGTTTCTAGGACATATGTTCCAGAGGACGTTAACAAAAATGGCACGAGAAAAAAAGTTCTGTGGTCAAATAAGTTGAGGAGATAGGGGTTAGACATAATAAAGCAAATTAAATATTAAAAAAAAAAAACAGATCTTTAATACACTAGTATGGCCCAAGACGAGAGCTCTACTGTAAAAATGTTTCCCAAACTTACTTGGGGCATAGAGCCCTCTTTTCTCCCAAGGGACGAGTGTCCTGTGGGAATGACATTTAGAAGTGCTGATATAAATACTATGAAGCATGAGTCATCTACCAAGCTGTTCAAAGATTCCACGGGCTGCCCTAAAGGTAATGAGCTCCCCATCCCTGGGGGAGACCAGATGGGCACAACCCCTTGGCAGAGATATCGTGCGGGCTCTTGGCATTGGTTGGGGTGGCGGATGGACTAGATGATCTGTTAGGTCCCTCACGACTCCAAGGTCGGATGAATCTACGGCTCCCACTTGAGGCGCTGCACATGGAGAAAACAGACCCCAAAAGAACCCAGCAGGAGCTGACGGCTTGAGGGGGCCTCAGGGCATCACTGACATTAGGCTGGTATATTCACGGGAAACAAATGCGCAGCTGAGGGCTTGAGAGGACAAGTGAGGTGCCGAGGCCACTTGGTGAACGAGTGATGGGAGAATAACCTGCCCTACGGGGGTCTGTCTGTTCCCAGATGCCGCCTCTCACCGGAGAACGTGAGCGGGAATTGCAGCTTCACGAGGGCAACGTCCTTCTCTTTGGGGTACGTGGTGTTGAGCTCAATGACGAAGATGTCGGCCACAGGCAGGGATGGGAAGTTGCCCAGTTTGTCCGAGCCAGCCCTCACCTTCCAGTTGGGTACATCGAGATGCTTCCTAGGGGCAGAGACGGCAGGGTTCAGGCCTGTGCTGCACAGCCTCTGGCAAAAGCTGGGCCCTCAGGGCCCTGGAGACTGGGGTGCTGCGTGTCCCTGCTTTAAGAGACAATGATGGTGTCGGCAGGGGTGGCAGAGAAGGAGCGGGTCTGAGGAATCGCCTACCGCAGGCTCAATTCTAAAAGGGGATTTGATCCTTTCCCCTCGTGAAATCTCTCCAAGGAAGCTTCTCACTGGAGGCCTGGGGAAGAACTGCTCCCTGTGCCTGAGCTCTGGCGTCCTGGCGCTCTCTCCCACGATGCTCTCTACGGTCTGTGTTACTCATGCGGTACTTGTCAGTTGCGTTTCGTACTTGGCTTTCTTCTTCCTGACTCCGGACACTCCTGCCCGCTGAGTGTGTAGGGGCGGGTTGCGGGGGGGGGGG